CAATATCTTGATCGTTCTAAACAATGAACATTTGTAAGGAGCCATACTCTTGATGCATTAGGGTTGGTAAAGACATCCAGTAGGCTAACTTTTATAAGGAGGCCCTGATCTAGAATCTGGCAAAGGACGCATCAAAATAACCAGCTAAAGCATTTAGTAATGCGAAGAAGAATCTGGGAAACAAGTAAAAAAAAGGGGGGGGGGGGGGGGGGAGAGGGGAAAAGTATCAAGAAAGAAGTGGAGGAGAGCTAGGACAAAGAAAATGGGGTGAAAAAAGGTGGAGAGTAGGGGGCAGTTTGAACCACTTATCAGTGCTGGCTTGCTAATTTTCTATTTAGGGTTGTAGGCATAATTGCGCACGCAGTAATTTTGGTTTCTCTGCATGTCTTTGAATATACTGTGCTCCTATATCCACTGTAACACAATGTAAATGTACATGCATATCTTTTTGAAAAAATTTCTGTAACTAGAAAGTTATAAAAAAAAAAAAAATAAATAATGAAGCTCCGCTATTATTGCCCATTCAAAAGCACTCACAGCTCCTCAGATGTACATATTTCCTTTTTTTTTTTTTTTTCATGGGGAAAGGACCTTTTGCCTTTTCTCCTGGGAATAAAGGTCAACTAGGACATAGCTAACTCAAGGTGGATCCGGTTGCATTATTGTTTGACTGTACGTTCAAGGTGCAATACTCCAGAATCACAATGGCAAAATGTTTCATTGCTACAAAAAGGAAATGGAAAGGAGGATAGGTCTGTTAGATTATCACAGGGATGAATAGGAAGGGCTCTTTCACATGGGCTGCCGGGAGGAGCAGCAAAAACAGATGACTAAGCTGCACTTTTACTGCACCCCAGCCACTCACCTGAATTCTAACATTACAATGTGATTGGACTGTACACATGCAATGCTTTGATTCATGGCTGTGACATTTAATTCGAGCTACAGAGTTTAACAGACGGCAGCGCCTTTTTAAAAATTCCTATTGAGATAAGTGGGGCTGGACTGCAACTACAAGCCAGCTGCAGGACCAGAAAAAGCCAAAAGCATATCGATTGCTATACTCACAGCACTCAGTAAAAATGTAAATTCTAAATTGTAAAGAGAGGTCCAAGGTATCAAACACCTTGTTGGACTTAACCCATTGTAAGTTAGCTGAATTTATATAGTGAGTTAATTCCTGGAGTTCTTCTTCAAGTTAAACATCTTGTCACTTTGGTTGTGATACCTGTTTCATATAATAGTCCAATCCTGGGGCTGCAACTCCCGGCACGTGTGCCAAACATGGCACGCAGCTTCATTTCTAATGGCACGGGAGGGAAGCCTGGGACACCCACCTCCCACATCAGCAAAGCCGGCTGGTGGTTGCAGTTGCTTTTAAGGGGTTAACACAATCGGTTCTTTTCCAGCTCATATCCCGCCCGCCTCCGTTCCTGCCCTCCTCACTCTGCTTGCCTGCATGACAGTGTTCAGTGGTGAGCACAGCCCGATTCCCTCCTCCTATGGAAGCTGAGTCTGCATGGGTCGGTAAGCTCCTCCTCCCATCCTCCGAGTACACTCATCCTCTTCAATGGACATGTAGTGGAGCTGCTCCGTCTCACACTGCACACAGATGACACCAAATTGTTTTACAAACGCATCCTTGATCAGCACAGTGTGACTGTAGCTGGCTGTTGTAGTTTTCAGATCAGAAAAGCAGCACAGCTACTACAGCCAGTTAGTCGCACTGTGCAGATCGAGGATGTGTTTGTAAAACAATCTGATCTCAGCTGTGTGGAAAGGAGCAGCTATGTTGAGGGCCCTGCCACCAGTAACCCCATCCCCTGACCTGTTAACCTGTCCTATGCCCTGCAGATCCCATCCTATGTCCCACTGACCCCAGTCCTCTACCCTGCGGACCCTGTCCTGTGCCCTGCGAATCCCATCCTGTGTCCTAAAGACCCCTGTCCTCTACCCTGCGGACCCAATCTTGTGCACTGTAGACCCCGTCCTCTGCCCTGTTGACCCCATCCTATACCCTGTTGACCCCATCCTATGCCTTGCTAACTCTGGCCTGCGGACCCCATCCTATGCCCTGCTGACCTCATTCCATGTCAAACTGACCCCTTACCTCTACCTTGTGGACCCCATCCTGTGCCCTGCGAACCCCATCGTATGTCCTACTGACCCCCGTCCTCTACCCTGTGGACCCAATCCTATGTCCTAGTGACCTATGCCCTCTACCCTGCGGACTCCATCCTATGTCCTACTGAACCCTGTTCTCTGCCCTGTGGACCCTTTCCTATGCCTTGCTGACCTCATCCTATGCCCTGCTGACCCTTGTCCTATGCCCCACTGATCATCTGCCCTGCTGACCCCATGATTTTTTCTGCTGACCCCATCCTCCGTTGTGCTGACCCCATCCTCTGCACCAATGACCCCTGTCCTATGCCCTTACTGACTCTCTTCCTGTGCCCTGTTGACCACATCCTCTGCCCTGCTTACCCCTGTTCTGTGTCCTGTTGATCTCATCCTCTGCCCTGCTGGCCAGTTTTTGCCCTGCTGACCCTTATCTTATGCCCTGGCGACCCTATCCTCTGCACGGCTAACCCCTGTCCCCTACACCACTATTGCTGTCCACTATTCTGCTGACCCCCTGCCCTCTACTCCACTAATCCCTGTCCTCTGCCCCTATTGTCCACCCTGCTGGACCCTGTCCTCTATTTTGATGACCCCTGTACACTCCCCTTCTGACCTCCCAGCCTCTGCCCTGCTGGCCTCTGTACATTGCCCTAAAAACTGCTAACACTAGGCACAATCCTGGAGTTAGATGCCCCAAGCAGCCTGCTCTCATTTTGGACTGGTAATTAGCTATTGGGAACCACTAATTTAGAGCTGCAGGAATTGGGACTGATCTGAGGTGTGACGATGCAGAAATTGCGTATGATCTGATTGTGAAGATGCAGGAATTGAGGCTGATCTGAGGTGCAGGACTTGGGGCTGATATGAAGTGTGATGGTGCAGGAAATAGGGTGATCTGAGGTGTGAAGGTGCAGGAATTGTGCTTATTTGAGATCTGAGGGTTCAGAAATTGGATCTGGTTTGAGGTGTAATGGTGCAGATATTGGATCTGATCTAAGGTGTGAAGGTGCAGAAATTGAGAAGGTCTGGGGTGTGGAGGTGCAGGAATTGGATTGTTCTAAAGTGTGAAGGTGTTGGCGTTTTGCTGATCTCAGGTGTGATGGCTTAGGATCTGGAGCTCCTCTATGGTCTGAAGGTGCAGGATTTGGGGCTGATTTGAGGTGTGAAGTTGAAGGAATTGGAACGGATCTTAGCTGGGAATGTGAAGGAATTGGGCTGATCTGAGGTCTGATGGTGCGGAATTGAGGTGATCTATGATGTGAAGGTGTAGGAATTGCGGCTGATCTGAGGTGTGAAGGCACAGGAATTGGGCTGATCTGAGGTCTGATGGTGCAGAAATTGAGGTGATTTATGGTGTGAAGGTGCAAGAATTGAGGTGATCAGAGGGGTGAAGGTGCAGGAATTGAGGCTGATCTGATGCTTTGTGCAGAATTTTGGGTGATTTGAGGTATGAAGGTGCAGGAATTGGGATGACCTGAGGTGTGAAGGTGCAAAGTTTAATATTCATCTCTTACTAGTATTCAAATCGTTAACAGCATTTCCGTAATAAAAATTTATTTTTGTGATTGAGAGTGTGAAGTTGACCTTTTTTTTTATTTTACCAGCACTCTCCATTTCCAGCACTCTCAATTTCAGATATATCCCATAGTTTGTGGACTCTGACTTTCCTACAGACTAAATAATAAATATGGAGTTAGGTTATTTTCACCAATGAAATGAAGCAGAATACATCTTGGCCTAAATTTATGAACAATTATTTATGTGCAAAATTTTAGAACAGAAATGAAGAAAAATGTGTGTGGTGGGGGGCTCAACATTTCGGGATTTTTTAGTAAAAAAAAACCCATTGATGATTAAATACCACCAAAAGAAAGCTCTAGTTGTGAACAAAATTATAAAAATGTAGTTTTGGTAGAGTGTTGCATGGAGGCACAATTGTCATTCAAACTGCGAGAGCACTGTTGAAAATTGGCCTGGGCAGGAATGGGGTTAAAAGTGCCCATTATTGAAATGGTTAAACAATGATTCCTGTAAGAACTCTCTCTTTAAATCCCTCCTCTCCGTAGTACAGAAGGTAGGCTCTGTGAATTCTGTGACACAGCGGTGCATATTCACAGGGCATAGTGAATACGTGGCATAGAGTTCAAGGAAGTAAAAGTGTGAGAACCTTCACAAAGTTTACAAATTTCAAGATTGTTCTGAGTAAATGGAGTAGGCTAGATGTAACAGAAATACAATGTGTAAATGAATACTTAATGCTACATGTTGACCATAGGCACCTTTAAGAAAAATGTCCCCAATGGGAAACAAACCTCACCAAAATAAAGTGAAAGATTTTAAACCCTTTCTTCTGTTGAACGATTGAAGAAAGATTTGGTTATACATACAGTTAAAGCTTATTGGTGCTATGAAAGACTTCTCAGACAGGCAATATTTGGAAATCTTCAAGGTAACTGGAGATAACTGGTTCCTTCACCAGCAGAGAGATCCATGTCTGAGATTTTAATCTCACCCACATAGCCTTTGTGGCATGAGTGGTGTGCTAAAATTCCTCTCTGTGTTTAGTCTGGTGCAGTGAAACCTAACCTCCAGACAGCTTCCTCTACAAAGTACTCAAGTCTAGGGAAACTGTACTGTCTACATTTTATAAACACTGATAATTTATTAATGTTCATGTTAAATCAATCAAAAACACGTTGTGTTCTCGAGAACACTGCTTTTGTCCTAATATTACAAATAAGGCAGTTTTCTGAGATATGAAAGGTCTTGCCCTCTTTGGCAGAGCCGCTTTGTAAAAATGTTTCTAGAGTTTAGTCACTGCACGTGAGCTGCTTCACAAACAATCAAAACAGAGCGCTGTTGAGGAGTCTTGAGGTTGAATGCGCCATTCAAAAAGTTACTTTGTTTGCATTGCATTCAGGAACAATAAACAATTGCATGGTGGTAAAAAAAAAAATCTCTATTTTAACAGTACTGCATATATTTACATTTTCCAGGGTTTCTTCCTTACTGTCTCTCCTGAGGCCATCCTTAAGGTTGCCACACAGTCCACTGAAAACAACAAGATCTTCTGCATGAACCTTTCGGCACCCTTCATCAGTCAGTTCTTTAAGGAGCCCCTTATGAAAGTCATGCCTTATGTGGACATTCTTTTTGGGAATGAAACGGTGAGAAAATATAATAAATATCAATTTATTTTTATTTTTTTTTAGGCTGTGCTTAATCTTTTTTGGTTTTCAGAGACATTTTTTGCACACATTTAAAAAATCTTTAGGTCAGTTTCAATCCCCAAACATAAATTCTGAAAGCAGAAGTACAAATTTTCAGTAAAAACTACTTTTACGCTGACTTTAGGGTACACAAACGCCAATGTTTCACCAATGTTTCACCTTTGGCACAATAACAGATGAGGTTGCCCCAAATATATAAACACCAAACCTGTAAAGCCTTAAAATTGTGCATGCCTGTGAAACAATTAACTTTTTGTACCTAAAACCTTTCCATAGGTGATGCTTTGAAAGCCTTTACAGGTCATCAGTTTGAAGTTTTATCATGAATAATGGCCCTAGAATCATTGTTTTCACTTGTGCAGTGATATGTAAATGAAAATGTAAAAATTTTACTTGCAAATGTATAGTTCTAATTTTTCTTTATTTAACATTTAATAGAAATAATGTTACGGTGCAGAAATATAAGGGCTGCATGATCATTTTTACTTTGTGGTTCTCCTAAGGCCTCTGGCACACTTCAGCTTGAAAAAGCTCAGTACAGCTGTTTGTTTGGTTTTTTTTTTTTTTTGCTGATCTAAAATGTGGCCCATTGTTTACTATGTGCCTGTACACACAGGCAAGTAAACAAGTGCTGCTAAATCATGAGTAAAACAAATTAAAAAAAAAACTACATTCTGGTCAGTATTTTGTGCCAGTGCACGCAAATACGCGCATATGAACATAACTATTAATAGATTTTGCTTAAGAAATTATTGTACACGCAAATACGCCTAACATACTCACCTGTCCAGAAATGGTAATGTTCACACATCAGTACTGTGTGCAAGAGGCTTAAGACAGCAAATTTTAAACAGTGGCTCAGTCAGTATTCATACAGTAACTTAAATTTGGCATACTAAACATTGGTTCTATACAGGTTACACATTTTCAGGAGGTAGCACTATTAGTTTGGTTACTCTGTAGACACTTTCCCTACAAATCCATCAAACCAATCCTGATTTTAAAAGCTCCTTATTATACCACATGAGCAACTTCAAAAGCTCAGTACCTAAAAGAAAAAGGTGTATAAAGTTGATCTTTTTCACTTTTAGGCTTTAAAAGCATTTTTTTTTTATTTTATGTATATGCATAGAATGCCCAGCTAATAATTTGTGTGTTGCATGTGCTGGAATAAGGACTTGGATAGGTGAATGTGCTCCTGCTGTTCATGATGGGAACATTAGAGTCTGTCAGTCACAAGCCATAAAAGCAGGGGAGGCTTTCAAGTTCCATATAATCACCTAGTCTGCTTTTGTGTTGAGAATCAATAATGTGTACATGTGACGAAGAGAGTGAAAGTGTTCTCCTTTTGCAAATAACAAGCTATAGTTAATTGTGTCAGACACAAAGTGCCTTTTATGTTGAGATTTTCTAGTACAGCAGGATGTGATGATTCTTAATAGGCTATGGAATTCCATCCTATAACTGAAGACCTCAGCACCTCACCTGCTCCTCCAACATCATTCATGTGCTAACTGTTACATGACAGTATGCCCAAAAACTCTTTAGAATGTTGCACTACCACAAACCACACTTTTACTGCTCATTGGCATCATATGATTGGCTTCTGATACCTTGTCTCCCCAAAAATAAGACCTACCCCTATTTTTGGGAATTGTTAAAAATATAAGACCTACCCTGAAAATAAGACCTGGTTGTGATCAGGGCTTTTTTCCAGCCGGAACGTGGCGGAACTCTGTTCCGCCACCTCCGGCACTGGCCCTGTGCACACCAATATCTACTGTCTCTTATAAACAAACGTGGCTTTTGTGTTTGCAAGTGACAGTCCCTCTTGTAAGTGCCAGCACCATCCGCTCCCACAGAACCTCCCTACCTCTGTACTCACTGTGGGACAGGGAAGGAACAGATATCTGCGAGCGCATTGTGTTTAGGAGTGGGGCAGGGCATCTCATCCTGCAGCCTAATGTATGGAAGCCGATACTGCAGGGGTGATTGCTGGCCAGTGGAGCGGTGAGTGCGTGAGGGGAGGGGGGGATGTGCAAAGGTGAGCTGCAGTCAAATGTTGTAGAGGTATATTTACAGGTGAGTTGCAGACATGGTGCATAGGTGAGCTGCGACTGGGGGGGTGCAGAGGTGAGCTGAGTTGCAATCCACCTCTGCACCCCCCCAACCACAGCTCAGCTCTGCACCTCCTGTCCAAAGCTTGCCCCTGTAGCCCCCAGCTACAGCACACCTCTGAATCCCCTGTCTGCAGCTCACCCCTGCACCCTGTCTGTGGCTCATCTCTGCACCCTGTTTGAAACTCACCTGTCAATTCACCTCTGCAACACCTGACTGCAGCTCACAACTGTCATCAACCGGCCCTCTCTATAGTAACCCTCATCTACAACTGCCTGCAGCTCACCTCTGCACTCCCTGTCCACACCTGTACATTAAAAAATAAGACCTACTCCGAAAATAATACCTAGTGTGTTTTATTGAGCCAAAGAAAATATAAGACAGTGTCTTATTTTCGGAGAAACACAGCACCTACAGTGTTTAAATAATAGGGCAGTAATAGGAGGTTTTGTGCCATTGTAAGCACTTTCTGGCTTGTTTAAAGTGGTTACAAAGGCCAAAGGTTCATACATTCATGTACTGCTCCCCCAATACTCACCTGAGCCCCATCTTGGTCCAGCAATGTGTACTGGAGCCTTAGCTGTCCTGGGTCTTGGTCTCCTCATTGACTGAAACACAAACACAGACAGTGAGCCAATGAGGAGAGAGCGGGGGCAAGGCTGAACCGCAGCTCTGTGTCGTATAGACGCATAGAGTGGGGCTCCGGAGCTAGCATGCACCAATGCCCTCCATGGCAAGTGGCTTGGGGATATTTTGGGATTTTTTTGTTTAAACCTACATGTTAGCCTATGTGTCCATGCGTGCATAAACCTTTAGAATCATTTTAATGATAGGAGAGCTCGGAGGCAGGGAAAAACCCCACTGTCAGTGCATTCAGGAGCAGCAGAGTTTTGGCAGAAAAAAAACGATTGACACGTTTAACCACCTCCCCCCGCCATATAGTCCAATGACGGGTGCAAGGTGGTTCTCTCGTTCTGAGAGGATGTCATATGACGTCCTCCCATTCTCACCGCGCATGCGCGGCTCAGGGAGCGCGCAGCGATCGGCGGTGCACTGTGTCCCTCGGACACAGCGGATCACCGATCACGAAAAGAGCCGAAGATGTCGGCTCGGTCATGTTATCAGCTGTGTCCAATCACAGCTGATCACATGAAAACACGGAAATGCCGGTTATCGGCATTTCTCTCCTTTCGAGCTGTCACGCTGACAGCTCGAGAGGAGAGCCGGTAATCGGCTTTCCGCGGAGGGGACATGAACACTGATCATCAGGACACTGATGATCAGTGTGCCCTGATGATCAGTGTAGCCCCAGCAGCTGCCACCTGTCAAAGTCCATCAGTGCCAGCTGTCAGTGTCGATCAGTGCCACGTGCCAGTGCCATACCAGTGCACATCAATGCCACATATCAGTGCCCATCTGAGCTGCCTATCATTGCCATCTATCCATGCCAATCAGTGCCACCTATCAGTGCAACCTATCAGTGCCACCTATCAGTGTGCATCAGTGCTGCCTTTCAGTGCCCATCAGTAATGCCTGTCAATGCCCATCAGTGCCACCTACCAGTGCCTTCTCATCAGTGCAGCCTATCAGTGCCCATCACTGCAGCCTCATTAGCGCACATCAGTGAAGGAGAAATATCACTTATTTACAAAATGTTATAACAAAAACTAGGAAAAAACGTTTTGGTTTTTTTTTCCAAAATTTTCAGTGGTTTTTGGTTTGTTTAAGAAAAAATAAAAAATCCGAAGGTGATTAAATACCACCAAAAGAAATCTCTATCTGTCACAAAAAAAAGATAAAAATGTCATATGGGTACAATGTTGCATGACCGCGCAATTGTCATTCAAAGTGCGACAGCGCTGAAATCTGGAAATTTGGCCTGGGCAGGAAGGGGGTATAAGTGCCCTGTAGGCTAGTGGTTAAATAAGCATTAACGCTAGGTGCGTTAGTGCTTGAGCGTTAATTCATTCCATTGGCCAGAATAAATTATTCTGACCAATGAAATGAATTGACGCACAAATGCTTGACATGGCTAAATGCCCCTAAATGCATTACACGCTTTTTACACCTCTGGCTTTTTTGTTTGTTTTTTTCCAAAAATGCTGCTGCAAGGAAGAAAGGCTTCTAGGAGAGTTAGTGGTAGTAAAGTCAATTTTGTATGCTTTACCTACGGGTAAGCCTACAATAAGGCTTACCTATAGGTACTGTAAATACCTCCTAAACGTGCACTGTTTAGGAGGTATTTACTGTGTAGCAGCCGGTGACATCACTGGCATTTGCGCTCTGAAGGAACTGCATAGCCGGGCCTTTCCTTTAGAGCTTTGTGCCATAAACAGTGACTCCTGTGCACATGTGCGGGAGTGAGGTCATTGCAGCTCGGCCATTCAAGCTGCCGCAGCCTGTGAACCTAGAGGGAAGACTGGGTGAAGATGGAAGCTCTGTCAGCGGTGACTGCGTCCCATTGGAAGGCTTCCTTTTTAGGTAAATTTCACGTAATGTGCTAGTATGTGGTGCATACTAGCACATTATAACATTGCTTTGCAGGGGAATTTTTTTTTACTTTTACTGCCACTTTAAGAAAATGTCCCATGTAAGAAAATAAGGGCCAAATGTGTTTGTTTTTTTTTTTTATTTTTTTTTAAGCAATGGCCTTGTGTTTTGTTTTAAGATATGGTAACATTGCCTCCTTTTTTATTTGCATCCCTTCAGTCCTCATAGAATTTCAGTTTTTATAACCCTGCTTTTAATGAAGAATGCGTTCTTGCTTTTGCAGTTAATCTTATTCTCCTCTGTAGTAGATCTGAGAGGCTTACTACGAGATAGCTTGTTCAGTTTTCAAAAAGTTGCAAATTGCAGCTGAGGCATACATAGTCTGGCACTTCACAGTCTGTTGATAAAAATGCAGCTGCTGTAAGTTCACAAGTTCAGAACCCAGCAAGTGTGTCTGAGGTACTTAATTTTCCTTGGAAGGCACACAGTAAGTGCTAATTTTCATCGGGCAGTAATTGTAATGATTCTAGAGCTGGGTAATGAGGGAAATATCTGTTATCCCATAGGAGCAGAAGAATAAAGGCATTTCAGTTGCCTATTCTTAGTTAATTTCTATCACAAATCTAAGAGAATTGAGCCTGTCTGACAAAGTGCCATTTTCCATGTTTTGTTTGCTTGTTGACATTCTATACAGGTATCTGGATGAGTTTTAATTATTTGAGTGTTGCCTGCATAACACAAAGTATAACAAATTACGCTAGAATTCAGAAGTTGGACAGCACAATGTAGGAGCCAGGAATAATTACAGTTGTGTCCAAAATTATTCAAACCCCCACTGAAATTGAGTGTTTTGGCCAGTTTGACATTGCTTTTGATCATTCAGTCATCTTGCTTACATTTACTTAAAGAGGCACTTGTAGGTCAGACAAATATAACATAACAGTTTATAATGAAATAACCACAAATGTCTTTTCTGTGCTCACAGCATTATCAGTTTTATTCAAGCCCCCAAGTGACATTCAATCTTAGTACTTAGTACAGCATCCTTTTACAGTTATAACAGCTTTTTTTTAAACGTGAAGCATAGCTTGACACAAGTGTCTTGCAGCGATCTACGGGTATCTTCGCCCATTTTTCATGGGCAAAGGCCTCCAGTTCAGTCACATTCTTAGGCTTGCGCACTGCAAACTGCTTTTCTTTAAGTCCCACCAGAGGTTCTCAATCGGATTTTAAGTCTGGTGACTGCGATGGCCACTCCAAAATGTTCCAGCCTTTCCTCTGCAACCATGCTCTAGTGGACTTGGAGGTATGCTTGGGATCATTGTCCTGTTGAAAGGTCCAACGTCTCCCAAGCCTCAGGTGTGTGACGGACTGCATCACGTTTCCATCCAATATTCTCTGGTACTGAAGAGAATTCATGGTACCTTGCACACGCTGAAGCTTCCCTGTACCTGCAGAAGCAAAACAGCCCCAAAGCATGATTGACCCTCCACCATGCTTCACAGTAGGCAAGGTGTTCTTTTCATCATAGGCCTTGTTCTTCCTCCTCCAAACATAGCGTTGATCCATGGGCCCAAACAGTTCTAATTTTGTTTCATCAGTCCACAGAACACTATCCCACAACTTTTGTGGTTTGTCCACATGGCTTTTTGGCATACTGCAGTCGACTCTTCTTATTCTTTGGAGACAGCAAGGGGGTACGCCTGGGAGTTCTGGCACGGAGGCCTTCATTACGCAGTGTGCGTCTTATTGTCTGGGCTGAAACTTCTGTACCCACATCTGACAAATCTTCTTTCTCACAGTTCCTCAGCAGTCACACGGGGACTTCTCTCCACTCTACGCTTCAGGTAGCGCACAGCAGTCGAAGTCAGCATCTTCTTTCTGCCACGACCAGGTAGCGTTTCAACAGTGCCCTTTGCCTTGAATTTGCGAATGATGCTTCCTAAGGTGTCTCTTGGTATGTTTAACATCTTTGCAATCTTCTTATAGCCATTGCCCTTCCTGTGAAGAGAAATCACCTCTTCTCTTGTCTTCCTGGACCATTCTCTTGCCTTCACCATGTTTGTAACCACACCAGTAAATGTCTAGAAGGAGCTGAGTATCACCAGTCATTTTAAAGCTGCCTAATTGGTGTGCTTATTATGCTTGATTGCTGCTCGGGTGACATCCACAGGTGTTTTCAATACCTGATGGAAAGCACCTGTATGAACCTCTGTTCTTCAGAGTGGTAGTCTTTAAGGGGTTGAATAATTGTGGCAATGAAGAAACCACATAAAATGAAACCATTTACTACTGTATTACATAACAATTGATGTCATTTTTAGTTGCATTTGGGTAGTTACAACGTCCTTGTAGGATTTGATTCTGAATACAATTCCAAATGTACACTTTAGTCCCTAAACCCCTTTACAGCATTGGGGGTTGAATAATTTTTGACACAACTGTACATACTTCAGTGGATGGCAACAAAAAAAAGGCTTGCAGTTTAAATTAATTTAGGTACATAGGTTTACCCAGCCTTGATAATGGTTTGAAAAAGTGTGTAATGTCTAGCCTAATACATCTCCAACTTATTAATTTCATTTGTCTCTAGTTTTACCAACTCCTTGGTCCAGCACCAGTGGTATAACAGCACAAAGTCAATCTGCTATTTTTTTTTTTTTTTTTTTTTTTTAAGCCCAGTCTGTACTTTTAAAACCACCTTCACCCCCCCCCCCCCTTCCTTTTTCCTGGGGTGCATCATTATGGCTTCCCAGGCTGATACTTCATTACATAGGCATCACTCAGTCCTGGAAGAATGCCTGCCACACGTCACTGTCAGAGGAGGCTGCCATGACCTTGCTAGACCAGCTTGAAGTCTGCAAGAAAAAGGTATGTATGGGTTTTTTTTTTTTTGTTTTTTTGTGCTTTGCTTTTATTAAAAAAATAAGATACCAGAGAGGCTTCAAGGTGTGGAATTGAGGATACAACACTTTAAGCAAGATTTCAGTTATCTATTGGACAATTAATTTTAAATGATCATGTTTAAAATCAGTGTGTGTTAGGAAAAATCTGCACAGTAACAATTTCAAGTTATTGCATTTGATTCATTTAGAACAATAACTTTGTATTCATTTATACAATTAGCTGTCTCCATTAAATTGCCAAAATGGAATAGGATTATGCAATTCTCATATATTGTTTCTAATATTGCTTCTATTAATCTTCAAAATATAGTACGGTAGTCTAAAATATGATGAATATAGTGGTTAAACTATTTAAAAAACCTGTTTATTTACATCTTTTTTTCTAAATTTCAGGAAGCTGCTACATTTGCCAGGGAACAAGGATTTGAGGTATTTGGAAACCACACAGATATTTTTATATTCTTTAGCATTATTAAACCTTATGTACAAATGGAAAGGTTAAGATTTTTATGTTGCCATAGCCTATAACAGGATTCCATGTTTTGGACATTGATTGATGCTCACTCCAGTTGCCATGGTAAATCTTGAATACTTTAGCGATAATGCTTTTCCACCTTCTTGACACTGTTCTCCAATCTTCTTGGCACAGTGACACCCACGTATGATGAAGTTCATTTGTTATGGGATGAACCTGCTGTTGCCTTTCTATTATTGTACACTGCAAGCATCTTGGCAAGATTTAAATGTCTTATTGCATTAATGTGAAACATCTTCGTAGACTGTTTTATGCGTCAGAGCTTGACAGTCACCTAGTTTTACCACCACTTAAAATTCAATGAAATTAGATTTATTTAACAAATGTACCATACTGTGCTGAACAGTTTGTAAATGTTCAGCAGATTATAAACCAGCAGAAAGCCACATGTAAAAATCTAGGAATATCTGAAGTATATTGTCGGGTTGAATACCCTAAAAAACAACCTGAGATTTTAATATTTGAATTTACCAGTCTCACAAAAAGGAACTTGGTGAACTCCTGATAACACAGCTTTGTGGGGGGTAATGATGTTTAGGGCTTTGATCACACAGGTTTGAGCTTGTATGAGATCAGTGTACAGCAAGCTCTTGTAATGCTTCAAGCAACTTTTTTTTTTAAAAGAGCCCTTTGGTGTACATTAGAATGCAGCTCAACAGATATGGTATGAAGAAGGCCTTAGGGTCCTTTCCCATCAGCCCAGTTCACTGTGGGGCATTAAACGCTGTTTGTGTATTAACGTGAGTTGAGTTAAGGCAGCCCATTAATTAAATGTACTGCTTGGCGTACCACAATGGACCAAAGATTGTGCATATAGGGTTCTTGACCGTGAACTGCAAAACACGATATGCATTACTGCATGTTGTGTTGAGCTATAACGTGGTCTTCTGCGTGAATGACGCTGTATCAAGGTTCATAACGTGTTGCCACAGGACACAGGTGTGAATGGGTCCTTAAGCACCCTTTAGCTCCAGTTTTGGAATGTTAACCAAAGATCTTAATGAGAATGCCAACTGTTAATTTAAACAGGCGACTATTTAACTTCAGCAGGCATCATAGTTATGAAGCCTGCTTAAGCCACTTGGCACGTGGTTTAAGGCAAGCCACAGATTATACAGTTTTGCAAAATTGCTCAATTTCTCCATCAAACTAGTCAGTGTTGAAGGGGGAATCTCTCCTGCAGTTCTATTGTGTTTTGCCGGAGAGGAGTCTTCCCTGCTGGCAAAAATCAATGATCACTGCTAGCAGCTATAGTCTCCCAGCAGTGATCACATGCAAAAGTGAACACATGCTGGTTGCACTGATGTAGCTCTTGCTCAATGGATAAACTTCAGTACAACCATCCTGCCCATAGATGGATCAAATTTCTGTCGGTCCCTGCTGAACAGGCCAAGATCTATGGATGGTACATTAAAAGCTTTAATAAAGCTTACCAGATGCTCTGCAAATGGTTTGTAAAAGCAGTGTGATTACAAGTTGGAGCCAATATGAACAAGGACTAAGGGCATTCATTTTTGCAGAAATCTGAGATCCACCATGACACTATGGACCTTGAACACAACTCCTTTAAACCATCTGCCCTCTTTGTTGAAAATGTGTGCATTTCAGTCCTCAAAAATATCCCTTTTCCTCTAGGTGCAACTAGAGTGCTGATTCTTAAGCTGGCCCTACACTGATCTAATTTTGGACAGTTCCTGGTAAACCAGTGTATGGCCCTGTCAGCTGAAGAATCAAAGAAACAGGGCAGTAAATTGTCCTATAAAACAGTTGTTTGGTTATTCTAACAGCCAGTGCCCCAATAGCTGTGGCAAAATATTTGTCCATCCTTGCTGTATAATGTGAATGGGGGAATCTTTGGGGTCAGAATTTGGTATGTGGCTGGCTTTAATCAGAGAACCTAATAATGTTGGTCCATGTGTGTAGTAAACCATAAAACATAAATCCAGGATACTAAACCAATATAAAAAAAAACAGAGCAGGGGTACTCAACCTGTTGTAGAGCTAAGGCAACCTAAATGATTTGGTAACCGGTCATGGGCCACAGTAAAAGTTTGAATAGCGTAAAGAACATTTTGCTCCTGCAGCTGCTGAATGACAGCTGGAGAGAGAGGAGGAGAAGCCAGGTTTCAGAGGTTGCATGAGATAAATGGAGAGGATTGATTCCTGTACATGCTGCCCCTTCTGTCCAAGTGTAAAACAAAAAGTGACAAGGAGGCTGCACAGCCCTCTGCAGCATGGGGCTGTGTCACCATTGAAACCCCTGATAATACACCAGTGGTTGGGAGGGTGTGGTAAAAACATGTCTCAACTACGGGGTTTTTACTACTCGCCAAACTACAAATGTAAACGAGCCCTTACTGTCCTAAGCCCCCTATAAGGCTCTTTCACACTGATGCGCTACAGTTTACACATACACTGCGCTTTTGCAATGTGCATATTGGCACCTATAAAAAGGTTAACAACTATTAGGCTGCTTTCACAATGATCTGTGGGTGCAGCGCAGTGCACCTGCGCCTTTCCTGCAGGTTAACTGCACTTTGCCATCGATTTTTTAGATCTTGTTGTGTGGTGCACACTAAAACTCCTGCAGTCAGCAGGATCAGTGTGAAAGCAGCCTAATAGTTAACCCTTTTATAGGTGCTAATATGCCCATTGCAAAAGAAGTGCAGTGTATGTGTTTAATGCACTGACCTATTTTTTTTCCCCTCTTCCAGCTTCTGCTGGCATCACTCTCCAGGCTGCTAGAAAGGTTCCACAGTGCACTTGATATCACTCTGCCTGGGACAGAAGCCAGTGCAACAGAGAAGATATTGGCTTATGCGGCTCCTGCTCTGTCGACAGCCACAGCTGTTTCCTGTACTGTCAGCTCGATGCACTCTGATTCTCTGGGATGGTGGGTGCTCAAGCCCAGATCATGATCAACTGGTTTCCAACCCTGGGCATGCACATTTGAGGTTGAGGGCCACAGGTTGAGCACCCCTGACTTGAAGGGTTTATAAAAAAAAACCTAGCTCCTAGACTGGATACCGTATTGGTTCTTATTGATGGTTTGCATGCACAGCTTCAAATTATAACAGCCTGTAGCTTCTATTAGTGTGGTTACTAGTCTGGATCCTTGAAAAGCTCCAAGAGCTCATTAAGAAGGTTCACTCTCTCTGTTTGTCCTGTTTATGGTTATCGAAAGTGAAAGTAAAAGAAAATCTAAAATTATGGGTTGACACCAGAACAATCTTCCAATGGGGACACTAGTACTAGTGACACACCGTGAGTCCCTTACTTTGGAGGGATTTCATCTCACTTACTGGTTTTGCTATGGCACAGGAATTGAAGAGAAGTCACTCCAATGGGACACAGATGACAAAAAACTTACAGGGATAACTTCCTCACGGTAATCATGAAAAAAACATTTTGCCTTTAGTTCTATGCCTTTTAGTTCTACTTCAAAGGAGAACTTTACCCATAAGTTTGATAACTATTATCATCCTTTAACAAAAAAATACATTTCACATTAATTATGCTACCAAAATTAGTGTGTTTGTAAATTGTCGTCGTTACCCCCCCCCCCCCCCCCCCCCATTGCTCCTGTTTCTTCTTGCTGGAAGCTGCTATTTTGTTGAAGCCCAGAGAAGTCACTTCCTAATGGAAACTCTCCCCCTCTCCTTGGTCTCAAAAACTGTCACTATTTTCAATTAAAATGATATACATTTTCAGCCTTGATTGTATATCTTAGCTAGAGAGGAAGGCTGACAGAAGCTTTACAGTGCTGAAGTTCACAGTCTGCTCTGTGGAGGTAGAAAGGAGAGAATATCAGGGAGTTAAAATAAGACATTTTCCTTGTAAATTTAACTTTTGTGTGTCCCTGGTAGCAGAGTTTGTCCTGTCACCTCTACACTATATTGCCAAAAGTATTGGGACGCCTCTCCAAATCATTGGATTCAGGTGTTCCAATCACCTCCATGGCGACAGGTATTTAAAATCAAGCATCTAGGCATGCAGACTGCTTCTACAAAACATTTGTGAAAGAATGGAATACTTTCAGGAGCTTAATGAAATCAAGCGTGGTACTGTGATAGGTTGCCACCTGTGCGGTAAGTCCATCCATGAAGACTGCTTCTACAAACATTTGTGAAAGAATGGGTCACTCTCAGGAGCTCAGTGAATTTGTGTGGTGCTGCGATAGGTTGCCACCTGTGCAATAAGTCCATCCATGAAATTTCCTTGCTACTAAATATTCCACAGTCAACTTTTAGTGATAATATAACAAAGTGGAAGCAACTGGGAACAGCAGTAACTCAGCCACAAAGTGGTTGGCCACATAAAATGACAGAGCGGGGTCAGCGCATGCTGAAGAGCACAGTGCGCAGAAGTTGCTTTCTGTCTGCAGAGTCAATAGCTAAAGACCTCCAAACTTTGTGTGGCGTTCAGATTAGCACAAGAGTGCTTAGAGCGCTTCATGGAATGAGTTTCCATGGCCAAGGAGCTGCATCCAAGCCTTACATCAAATTTTGGCTATTTTCCTACACAGACTAGCAGAACTCCATAGTGCTCTTGTAATCCTCTTGAGCTAGGGTATTTTTGCCATTGTTCCACTAGAAGAATATTTTGAGGGGTTTTGCTGCAACCTTTTCACTGTTCACCCTAAATTGGATCTAAAGACTTAGATTGTAAGCTCCAAGGAGCAGGGCCCTCCTAACCCTCTTGTATTGAACTGTATTGTTGCTGTGTTGTCTCCCTTTATTTTATAAAGCGCTGAGCGAACTGTTGGCGCTATATAAATCCTGTATAATAATAATAATTGTCTTTAAGTGTAATAATTTCACATAGAATTCACCAGATCTGTCATAGTCTCCTTCCATCAGGGTGATTGTCTAGTCTCTGTAGATGTAAGCAGTGC